CCCCCCCCCCCCCCAAGCTCATATATTATGCTTTATGGTACAGAAAAGAAACCCTTTGCAGCTCTGTCACCTGTCCTGCATAACATCCCCAACCAAGTCCCTCTGGGTGGAGAGGAACAAAATGTCACTTTCTTATAAGTACAAAGAGACCTCAGGGTTGAGACCTCATCATCTGCGCTTTCCGAATAATAAATGAACAGTTTTCTGAATGCTTTAAGGAAATAATACTATTTTACTAATGGCTGCACAGTCCACCTTTTATCTTCTGGGATGCCACAGATCTGATCTACCCAAACATTTCCTGAGCACCTACTATGTACAGACACCATGCTGTGGGGCACAAATGTCTAAGGACTTGTACCTACTATAAAGGACCTTGCAAAGGGAGATAAGAGATGCGTTTCTAACAATATGTAAAATATGGCCAAGGGCTGAAAGACACATAAGCCATGGGTTATATGAATTCAGAGGAAGTAAAAATTCTGCTGAGAAGGTTTCCTGGAGGTGGTGGCACTACATTTTTGAGCAGAAGGATGGGCAGCATTGGGATGGGCAAACAGAGGGATGGAATGAAAGTCATTCTCGGTAGAATGGAGGCCAATGGCCTAATGCTTGGATCGTCAATAATATATCCAGCGTCGTTTCATGGGGAGACGCGGGCGTGAATCCTCTCTCTACTGTCTGGGTAATGAGATTAACGTACAAACGCTAAGAAACATTACAATCTACCATATTGCCATCATCTTCATCCTGTCTTCCCAAAAAGGCTATGGATTTTGGAGTAGGTTTTGGATCAGTAGATGGGCAGGTTTAAGTGGAAACGAAAGCATGATTTATTTTTTTAAAGGCATAAATCAGAGGGGGTAAAATGCAGACACGTGATGTGAAGCCTGGGGTCCTCTGGTCAGGTGGGCTGCAGAAGAAACTCTCTGCCCCGCTGGGGAGCTGGATCGGCTGGCTCCCTCCTAGCTAAGAAGTGTTCAATCCTGAATTCGAAAATTCAGAGTCCCTTGAGGCCCCTCCACTCTCCCCACTGCAATGGCAGCTTCTCTGGCTGCAAAAGCACAGGTGGGCGTTTTAGTCTAAAGAAATCTGATGTTTCTGCTAGTTACTGAACTTGTTTACAAAGCATGTAGGTGTTACCCACACAAATCTTTAAAAGCATTGGCAGAAATAAAATGAAAAGTTACGGCAGTGAAAGTATTCTGGAGCTTTTGGGTAGGTGTATGCAGATGGGAAAGACAAAACCCCTGCAAAGGATCTAGATGGAACTGACAGGTTACAGCTGTAACGATTTCTCAAGGGTCCGCTGACAGGGATCTTGTGCTGCTTTACTATGGAGCAAGTCTGGGACAGACTGGAGCCACAGCAGCTTTTAAATAGGCCATCAGGTACAATGACAGAACTTGCCAGCTGCCTATCACAGAGCTGTCAGGCCCTAATTAACTGAAATGCTTCAGGAACATGATGTCCTGGTGAAAGGAACATCGGCTTAAGGGGGAAAGCCCCTGCTCGCTTAAATCTTATTCTGATTATCTTCTAAGAACACATTAGTCCATTGTCCTTTGGTATGGAGGCCAGTATACTGTACATAGCTGACAACTTTATTCAATACTGATGCATTTATTGTCAGGTACCGGGCTGGGCAGATACTAGGGATACAAAGATACTAGGAGGTGGCTCTCAGCTTCTTGGAACTCGTTGGGTGTAGCAGGGTCATACTGAGAATCTCAGCACCACAAAGAGCCGTAGCTGCAGGCACAGGTCACTGGGCTGAGAGATGTGCATTCACAGTACCCATCCTACTGAAAGGTGCACACTATCAGGGACAGAATCACTGGAACACTATCAGGAACAGAATCCTTTCCTGTCGTGATTCTCAACCAGGGATGGTGAGGTGGAAGGTGGTCTGTTTCCATGAACAGGGAAAGTTCGTTTGAAAATTGGTCCCTGTATGAATCGATGTTCATGTTTCACTCCCCTCCATGAAACATCTCCTTGTACTGACATCATTCCTACCCTGAGCCGCGAACCAAAACCTGCGTGCTCTCTCACACGTGTGCAGCTGGATGCCCGTGCACACACAGGCACATATGCCCACACCTGCCTGTGAAGGCATCCTTTAGTTTTTATGAGGAGTCACTTCATCCTCAAAAAAAAAAAAAAAAAAAAAAAAAAAAAAAAATCCTATCGAATACTGGAAAAATTCAGTGGAAGTTTCTTTTTAATGTGAACCATTTTTCACGTCTAACTGGAGCTCTCAGCACAGAGGTGAAGTGTATTTGTGCTCAGAGGAAGAAGGCAGTGCCTCAGAAGCGGTTTGTTCTCACTGGGAAACCGTTTCAAAGCTTCCTCATCCCCAGTCCAGGACGGCCACCTCCTCTAGCCTCGCTCTACTCACGGACCAAGGTGGACACCCTTCCTTCTCCACAGTGTGCCTGCTGCTGAGGGTGTCGTTCTGACCGGGGCCCTCGGGAGCACATGGCGAACGCTCCTTGCTAGCTCAGCCTGGGCTCTGGTCCCCGAGCTCCATCAAAGTGAAGCTTTGGGTCCCCTTGCCTGGGGCAAGTGGAGCAGCAGCCTTGCAGAGTCTGAACTCCCATGGTGGCGTGGGAGAGCTCTAGAAGCAGGTAGACGACCATGGCTCCACATGTCCTACCACCCCTGGCTGGCTGTGTGGCTGCCTGAGCGGCTTGCACCTCAGACCCTCAGCTGCTTCTGCTCCCAAATGGATATTCTACCGCCGGCTCTGCCTGCCTCGTGGCTTGGTGTCAGAAATACAAAGAGATAATGTTTGTGGATGTGGTCATGTTTAAACACCGTAAGACGTTATGGAAAAGAGATGTGAGAAGGAGAGTGTTATCTTCACAAAAGTGACTTCGGTCCCTTGTGCTCCCCGCTCCCCTCCCCCTCCCCCAGCCCTGCCACTCCTTGGAGACCCTCGAGACAGGAGGCCTGCAGGATGATGGAAGGCGATATTCTTCCAAGCTGTCAAGGCCATAAAATCACAGGCTGCTGAGTGGAACACAGAGACTGCCACGGGCTGTGCAGAGACAGAGCCTTGCTCTCTCAGTCCGGGGGAAGTGCACATGCCTACCTTCTTGCCTTCTCCATATATAAGGGGAAACTTCAGGTCATCATCCTCAATGGTTTTGTATGCCCTGTAGGGGGATAAACAACATTTACAAAAAAAGGTTTGCACTCAGTGACCCGCTGCCCTGACACAGGCGACCGGGTTCTTCATTCTCCCTGACACTCCCTCCATCACTCACCGCACTGCCAACCTCTTTGTGCCTGGACTTCTTCTTACCGAATCACACGTTTGTGCATGTAATTAACAAATCAGAAGATATCAAGTGTGTGTTTACTCACAGAGGGAGAGGGTAAGGTGGTATATTTGTAATCGGCAAGAAGGGGAGGTGGGATTCTGTCCTGGGTGTTTTGTGCCTGTATGATAGTGAAGCCCCGGCAGCAGTGACAAGGGTCTTGTCCTTAACCCAGAGCTGGAAAACAGCAGAGCTCAGAGGCAGATGGAGTGTGAAACTGCTCCAGGAGCTGGTTCTGACCTTCAGGGGTTGTTTATACCAAAGCAGCCTCGTATTGGGATGGCTGGAGAAGGAATATTTAGAGACTGTTTGACCTCCGTGTGATATTCAAGGTTGGCAGAAAATTCTTTGTTTCACAATAGCTATTAAATGGCCATTCGACACACGGAAAGAAAAGCCAGTTTATGCTTCAGTGGTTTATTCCAGACATGGTTGTCCAAATGCCATTACATACACAGCAGAGGCTGGCCAGGCTAACCCAGGAGAGAAAATGAAGTCTGTGTCTTGCAATTTTGCTCATAAGAAGTTAAAAAACAAAAAGCAAAGGAATGTGGCACTTGATTACTAACTATGCCACTCTGGGCAAGTAGCTCCACCTTTTTTCGTCTCAGTTTCCTTATCTGTAAAATGAGGATCATCACAGAGGATGTAACGAGCTGAGCACAGAGCCTGGCACTTGGGAAGTACTCATTTAGTGGTAGCTATTACTAATACTTCGTAGATAACTAATGGGGAGTTATCTGCAAAATGGGGAGAGCACTACCTCAAAGAAGTATTAGTATTACACTAAGTAAAAACCGGGTAGCTTCTATTAGGCTAGGTGCTAGAAACAAGATGCTTCTCGGAAGTAATGTCTGCTGAGTGCACAAAGGAAACTAATTTGTGAAATGGGCTCCTAATCTTGGATATATACAGGCAACTTGGGAGTGAGCATGCAATCAAATTTATGGAAGCTCTTGATACACAAATGAATGCAATCCAATTCAAAAAGAGTTCAACCCCAAAGCTAATGCCGGGACACCTTTATTTCCAGGGAAGTTATTTAGGTAAGGTGCTCCTTCCCAAGGGACCAGTGAAGCTTTGGCACCAGATGTGCCTGGGCTTCCTGTTCAGCCCTGAGCAAGCGAGTGAGCCTCTCTGGATTTCAGGATCCTCATTAATCAGAGAGGGGGAAACTGAAACTTACTGGTGGGGTTGAAGATGAACATGGGCTAATGACCGTGCTGAGATCGCGAAGTATTCAGCACGGTGCCCGGCACATGCCAGTTGCTGGTACAGCCATCATGTGAGCCCAGAGGTACTCTAGGAATTCAATTTTCAAAAAAAAACCGTACTATATCCTTTCCCCAAATCTATCAAATTAACACGAGGTGGAAACAGCTACTCTGATGTTTTTATACTCACATGAACTATTTAAAACGCTGTGGTATACAAGTCACTTGGGGAGCAAATAGAGCTATTATTAGAATACACTCAGCTTGGGGACTGAATGAGTTCTTAGCCCAGTGGTTCTCAACCCTGGCTTTACATGGAATCACCTGGGAGGGCTTTAAAAAGTCCAGACGCCCATGGGGCGCCTGGGTGGCTCAGTCAGTTAAGCAACTTTGGCTCAGGTCAAGAACTCGTGGTTTGTGAGTTCAACCCCTGCATTGGGCTCTGTGCTGACAGCTCGGAGCCTGGAACCTGCTTCGGATTCTATGTCTCCCTCTCTCTCTGTTCCTCCCCCAGTTGTACTGTCTCTCTCTCTCTCAAAAATAAAGATTTAAAAAAAAAATTTTTTTTTTTTAAATCCAGATGCCCATGTCACAGCTCAGAGCAATTAAATCTGACCTCTGGGGATGAGAGCCAGTCACTGGATTTTTTTTTTTTTTTTTTAAGCTCCCAGGTGATTCTATTGTGTAGCCAAAGTTGAGAACCACTACTATAGACCAAGTGTCATTGCTCATATTCAAAATCAGTTGAGCAACTAGCTTGACTCTAAAGATGATATATGGCTCAAGGGACAGGAGGGAAATGGCCTGGGAGAGGCTCTAAAGTGGGCGTGAGCAGGGCTTGGGGACGAGGCCAGGAGAGGGACTGGGGCCTGGAGACCAAGATCCAGGAGTCAGAGATTAAATGGGAGGCAGAAGGCAGCAGCTCCAGCCCCAGTGACTGGAAATTACTTAGAGTTCAGTACAGATAGGCTAAGAGCACTCTTAACAGGCTTGAAAAGGCAGCCACAGAGCTGTTCTCAGATCCCCTGAAAGCCCAGGCAATCAAATCCTCTCAGGGCAGAGACCTTCAGGAGCATGAAGTCTGTGTCACCACAGCTCCGAAAGACAAACACTAACCTTGGAGGTGTCACCCACAGGGTCAAGTCCAAATTCTAATATTTTAGTTGCTCTATTTTCATCTTTGAAAACAACAAAAATACTAAAACTAGAAACGAAACTTTCAAAAAGCCTTATTCTGTTCCTGCCATTACTGGTTTTCAATCATGTGAGAGCCCTCTCCCCTGCTGTCACCAACAAATGACAAGGGTGAATAACTACCAATAAAGAAGTACAACACCCTCACCCCCTCAACCTTTCTGGGTCCTAAGCACAGGTCATCATATACAGGCAGGCGGACTTCCTTTTTCACAGTGAAAGTCTGGTATAATAAAGAATAAAACAAGAGTCCAGACTGGCAGCTTGATTAAAGTCTGTATAAATTAGTGATCGCCAACAATCATGACAGCTGCTATGACTTACCAAACACCTGTCCCACACTGGGCTTGGTGCTACGTCTCAAATGTCTCCTAGGTTCTGCAATGTCCTATTCGAGGGGACTGAGGCTCAGAAAGGTTAAGTGACTTTCCCAGGATCACAGACCATCTTAGTGGCCTAAAGCTAGACTCTAACTTCCCCAGAAAATACACCAAAAAAGGGGGCTTCAGGGCTCAGCTCTGGGGATTTCTCATTCTAGCTGAAAAATCTGAGATGAGACATTATCTGCCTGTCAGTGGGAGAAAAGCAGGCATTGGTTGAAGAAAAGGTCTTTTTGGCACAAGGGGAAAAGAGGCAAAAGAACAAAAGGTGCCCATGTGGGGACAAAACTGGTGGCTGTTTCACTACACGGTCCACAGGGAAGCCAGCGGGAAGCCAGGGAAGCACCAGGCTGTGTCCTCAGACCCGCCACTACTTAGCAGGCATTTCCCTATGGCTGAAGAGCCTGGCAGAGGCCGCTCCCACGGACAGCGGGTCTCCCTCAAACATGTGTCTGGAGTTGAAGGGGGCCACTCCTGTTCCTACCCATTTGTAAGCCCTGTTTGCTATTCATATTGCATGGTACTTCATGGTCCAGGCTGTAGACTCTGTATTTCCAGCTCAGCCCTGGCTTCTGCCCTTCTCAGCTGGGGGACACAAGATAAGGGCAATGGTTTGAAGTTTGAGCTCCAAGAAAGGGAGTTACTTGGGACGTACAATAAATAGAAAACGTCCAGAAATAGAAATAGAAATTAATAGAAAATGGGTGGCTCAGACAGTTAAGTGTTGGGACTGTTGGGTTTCAGCTTAGGTCATGATCCCAGAGTTCCTGGGCTCGAGCTCTGTGCTGACTACTTGGGATTCTGTCTCTCCCTCTCTCTCTGCCCCGCTTCTGCTGGTGCTCTTTCTCTCTCTCAAAATAAACAAACATTAAAAAAAAAAGTCTATTCCTGGGGCTCCTGGGTGGCTTAGTCGGTTGAGTGTCTGACTTCAGCTCAGGTCACGATTTCACGGTTTGCAACTTTGAGCCCCACATCTGGCTTGCTGCTATCAGCATCTCTCTCTGCCCCTTCCCTCTCTCAAAAAGAAATAAATTAAAAAAATTTTTTTAAGAAAATTTCTATTCCTGGGGCGCCTGGGTGGCGCAGTCGGTTAAGCGTCCGACTTCAGCCAGGTCACGATCTCGTGGTCCGTGAGTTCGAGCCCCGCGTCAGGCTCTGGGCTGACGGCTCGGAGCCTGGAGCCTGTTTCGGATTCTGTGTCTCCTTCTCTCTCTGCCCCTCCCCCGTTCATGCTCTGTCTCTCTCTGTCCCAAAAATAAATAAAAAATGTTGAAAAAAAAAATTTAAAAAAAAAAAAAAAAAAAAGAAAATTTCTATTCCTTCTTATCAGATCCCATGATTTCTCAAATCCTGATTAAATTTAAAGATTCCAAATACCAACTACTCACTAGTTTCTACCATAATATAACTGACCAGAGATGATATTCAAATAATTACTTGTTACAAGAAAGCAAAACTGAAAGGCTTAGGAAAGATTTTCAGAGTAACTCTGATTGTGAGTCAGTCCTTATTGAATATTTATGAGGCCAATTGACAGAAAGAAGAGAAAAAAAAATCAAGGCTTAAAAAGGGCTGAATTAAAGGGCTTTCCCTAAGTGGAGGCAAGTTTCATTAAGCAAAGAAGTTTCCATTAAACTTTTTTTTTTTAAAGTAATGGTTTCCTCTGCAATGTTGATTTGGCAAAGCTGAAAAGACAAGGCACCACGGGTCCAGACCTACTGGAAAGAAAAGCACTACTAAGTCGGCTATACCTCAAGTGCAGGAGTCCCTGCTATAACAATATACCTCATACTGGTCCCCAGTCTCTGTCATGGAATTGACTGCTCTGGACAGTCACTACCTGGGAGCAGTGCAACAGGCAGCATCAGCCCATTCCATTGGAGAGCAGCCCTGGGAAGTTCTTTCTTAAACCATCCAGTCAGCCACTGGTGTATTTCTTTTTCTTTTCTGTTTTCTTTTCTTTTCTTTTCTTTCTTTTCTTTTCTCTTTTCTTTTCTCCCTTTCTTTCCTTCCTTCTTTCCTCCCTCCCTCCCTCCCTCCCTCCCTT